CTCAGTCAACAAAGATTTATAAATGCCAATTCAATGCCAGACTCTGGCTGCCCCCCGCCTGCGGTGTGTCCAGTACAGGAGTATTGGTCATGCTGTTTCTGTTCCTCTAGGAAGGATGAAACCTTCTCTGTGACCTGGGCCTCTCATGAGATACAGAATCATCACTTAAATCTTTCTTGCCCACAGTGGAAATGCCAGGCGCTGAGGATCAATCACTTTGTCTTTTCTTGGCCTGACTTGATCCGTGTACTTTCTAAGCCAGACCTCCAAAAAAGTGTAGTTTACAGGCCCTGCAACCGTACCCTTTGCTTCCCTCCCCACTTCGCCCACTGCCATCTGGTTTCTGCTCCTTACCGCTTCCCCACACCAGCCTTGTGAAAGGTAACTGACCAACTCCTGGTTACCAAACATAGCACACTTTCCCGCGGGGCCACACTGCACTGCTCCACTCTGCCAGCGCCAGCCTCCCTCTGTTCCTCTTTCTCCACTGAGCTGCTGGGACATCGCCCTCTCTGCTTATTCTTCCAGCTCCGTGGCTCCTGTGTCACCTCCCTTGCAGGCTCACTTTTCATCTTAATTTGGGAGTTCCTTAGGGTTCTGTCCTCAATCCCTTTCTCATTCTTTCTAAATTTGGTTCCACCAAAATTTCATCAATGGCCCAACCTTTATCCCCAGATAACCTCTTCCTCTTGAGCAACAGATCTATCTCTTCCTCTTTTTTAAAAAATATCTATTTGGTTGTGCTGGGTCTTTTGAAAAAATATATTATTATTTTCTGGCTGTGCTGGGTCTTTGCTGCACACAGGCTCTCTCCAGTTGTGGTAAGTGGGGGCTACTCTCTAGTTGCAGTTAAGTGCTGGTTCCTCATTGATATGCCTTCTCTTGTTGAAAAGCACAGGCTCTAGGGTGCCCAGGCTTCAGTAGCTGTGGTACATGGGCTTAGCTGCCCCCCGGCACGTGGAATCTTCCCAGAACAGGGATCGAACCCATGTACCATGCCTTGGCAGAGAATTCTCAACCATTGGACAACCAGGGAAGTCCTGCACCGGGTCTCAGCTGCAGCACACAGAATCTTTAGTTGTGGCAGGCACGATCTAGTCCCTGACCAGGGATTGAACCTGGGCCCCCTGCATTAGGAGCAGGGAGTCTTAGCCACTGGACCACCAGGGAAGTCCCCAGATCTCTTTAGCTATGTGCCTGGATGGATCTCTTTGTCTATGTTTTGGATGTCCTCAAGGGTCTGATAACATGTCCAAAGCTGATCTGATCATCTTCCCTCCAAATCTGTGCCTTGTCTTTTGTGCTCCCCATTTCTGTGACACGGCCTCCACCTCAGACTCATCTTCGGCTCTCGTGACACCTCTCCAATCTAGTTCTTCCTCTCTGGATCCCACCCTCAACTCTCACCCTTTCCAGTATACTCTTCACATCAAACCTTTTTTTTTTTTTTTGCCATCAACCAAGTCTGATAGTTTTATTGTTGTCCTAAATCCTTTGATGACCCCCAGCTGCTTAAAAGTTAACACCTCAACTCCTCAACAAGGCAGACAAATCCTTTATAACATGGCTCTTACCTCCTTTGCAGCCTCATCTTCCAACGCACCTTCATTAACACTGAGCTTCGAGAAGTCCTTCCAAGGACTCCTTTGTTCCTGTTTGAAATCCTACCCTCCCCCATCCCTCTTGGTGTGTCTAGTGAATTTTTACTCAAGTTTCATCTCAAACATTTGCTCTCCTCAGAAGCCCTGAGGTGGAAATGGGTGCACTCTGCTTTGCTCCTGACGTATCACCATCCCACTAATCACACTGCATGGCTTACAACTGACTAATTCCTTGGAGATTTGAACTCAGCACATTATAAGCACCTAATAAGATCAAGAAGTGCAGAGAGATAAAACAATACACTGAAGCTTCATGCACAAACTGGAAACTATTTTTCTATGTTGGTGAGCTGGAAACTGAGAATTAACCTTATTGCAATTTATTTCTATGGGTTCCTTCATGGATCTTCAGTAATGCATTCCTCTCAGAAGTAACCTCTGAAATATCAGATGTTGGCACATCTGTTGGCTTGATGAGATTTCTCACTGGTTCCCCCTTCCAAAGTTCTTTCCACACTGCACACCAGTAATCATTTCAAAACACACACCTAAAGGGAACCCTCTTACACTGTTGGTGGGAATGCAAATTAGTACAGCCACTATGGAAAACACACACCTGATCATCTTTCTCACCCCATCTCACACACACCACATCCTACTTAAAGCTCTTCATGGCTCTTTGGCTCCAACAAAAGAAAAAAAAAAACCCTTTTACCATGATCCACACCATCTGGCCTTTTCTTCAGCTCCTATCTACTAGCTGTGTTGCGGCCATACTGGTCCTTTTCTGGCTTCCTGGTACTTGTCTCTGCTAGCCCCACTGAGGGCTTCCCTGCCTGGCTTCTCTGGATAATTCTTTCCATACTTCTTCCCCTGGTCCATTCACTCTTTTACCTCCAGACCTCAGCTCTAGTGCTGCCTCCTCAGGGTAATGTTTTCATCTTGTGTGGATCAAATCCCCCCTGTATCTCCCTTCCACTGTGAAGCTATGACAAACCTAGACAGTGTATTAAAAAGCAGAGACATCACTTTGTTGACAAAGGTCCACATAATCAAAGCTATGGTTTTTTCAGTAGTCACGTACAGATGTTAAAATTGGATCATAAAGAAGGCTGAACACCAAAGAATTGATGCTTTTGAACACTGGTGCTGGAGAAGACTCTTGAGAATCCCTCAGACAGCAAGGATTTCAACCAATCAACCTGAAGGAAATCAACCCTGAATATTCATTGGAAGGACTGGTGCTGAAGCTCCAATACTTTGGCCCCCTGACGCGAAGAGCTGAGCCATTGGAAAAGACCCTAATGCTGGAACATATTGAGGGCAAGAGAAGGGGGCGACAGGGGATGAGATGATAGGATGGCATCACTGACTCAATGGATATGAGTTTGAGAAAACTCAGGGAGATAGTGAAGGACAGAGAAGCCTGGTGTGCTTCAGTTCGTGAGGTTGCAAAGGGTTGGACACAACTCAAGAGACTGAACAACAAGTTAGCATAGAAGGTTTGGGCTTTGACAAAGAGTGTTACAGACTCATTCAATGAATAACGGAGTCTGTGAGTGAGTGAGTGAAGATCAAGAATAACAGGTTTCCCTGCTGCTTTTACCCTCGCAGATACTCTGTATTTGTATATGTACCTTAATAAATTTTCAAAATATTTCCAGATAAGTGGTCTAATTTGATATTAACAATTGACTTGAAGAGTAGAAAGGGCGACTGCTTGCAGATGACTTGTCCAGTGTTACATGGCTAGTAAGCAACAAAGTGGGACCAGAACCAAGATTTGTTACTTTTCAGACCAGGGCTCTGGCCATTAAACAACAAAAAGGAAGCAAAAGAAGAAAATGCACAACTGAATAGGCAGCATCTACACAAAAGACAATAAATAGAGATTATCCAAATGAATTAAAATAAAAACAAATTATTTTAGGCAGATAGAACCTGGGTTCATTGAACCTAGGCACAAGTTCTCTAAATGCGGGCATGTTAGCATAGAAGGTTAGAGCTCTGACAAAGAGCGTGTCACCTAGTATTCTGGTACAACAGAACTCAGTTAGTATTCTATCATAATTTTCATTAAAATATGGATGTTTAATAAATGTCGGCTATTAAGTAGTTAGTGGGAAAGTTTATTTCTGGAAACCTTTTCATTCTTTCTTTAATGAGACTATTTATTTATTTATTATTGTAAGGAAAGGAGAGAAAAGTTAATCACTTAGTGGGCTAAGATTACGTAGCTGGATCCAGTTGTTTTACAGAGCAGCCTCTAAAAAAAAATAAAGAGCAGCCTCTAACGATACTTGTTCATTTAGCTCATATCAGAGCACTTCTAGTCTTAACATATATACACGCTAATTTTTATTGAAATATAGTTTCAATAAAACTTGATTACCCCACTTATATTTAAATTCATTTTGTTTTGAGTTTAGTCTACCCGGTAGAACTGTCTTTTGGGGGACAGGGGCGTGGGTAAACGGGGAGAAAGATGTAAAAATACAACCTAAACGTGCAAAACTTCGTATACAGGAATCCGTAATTCGCTATCACCTGCTAAAAACAAGACTGGGTGATAGTTGAAAGTTCACAGAAAGTTTCACTCGACTGATGGAATGTACGCAACTGTTAACGATTTCCTACATTTGCCCACATTTCCAGAGAATCAACGTCATCTCTGTATTCAGGAAAATACAAGTGAAAAACACCGGAGAAAGTCTCACTTCATTTGCCCCACGTGGTCCTTCCTGAGCTAGGGGCTTCTCCGCCGGCTCCAACGAATTTCCAGCGCCGGCAAACGCGTCCTCGCGCGCGACCTCTGAGGCAGGTCGCAGCGCGCAGAACGGCATCTGAGCTCGGCCGCGGGCGGTACACTTGACGCGCCAAGTGCGGGCGCCGAGGGGCGGCCGAGCTCTGCTCGCCCGACCTACGCGCTGGGCACTAGGGAAGAGCGCCTGCGCGCCCAGTCACGTGTCGGGCGCTCCGCGCAAAGCGGGTTAAAAGTGACGACCGCGGAGAGCCCGTGAGAGCCTCGCCGGTCCGCGCGGCGCTCCTCGAGTCCCCTAAGCCGGTACTAAGGGAAGCCATCCGGCTGTCCTCTATCACTTCCCGCCCTCTCGGCCCGGCTCAGCTCCACGCAACGCCTTAGCACACTTCCTCGGCCCCTACATAGGCGCGTGAAACCGCCTCTTTCAACTGACAATGAAGCCGTAGCCGCGCAGCACGGCCGCTGCGGGCCAACGGGCGCGAGGCCGGGTGGGGGAGGAGGGGAGAGGCGAACGGTTGGGCCAAGCCCCGCCCCAGCTCGCGCTCCTATTGGCCGGCACCAGGGCTCTGGCCCCGCCCCCTAATGGACCTGTCGCATTGTGACAGGCGGAGGGGCCAGTTCCTGTTGGGTCGGGGGCGGAGTCAGAGGTAGCCTGAGCTCCGCCCGGACGCCCGGGGGCTCCTCCTCCTGTTCCTCACGGCGCGGCGGGCGGCGGTTGTGAGGGGAATGTCATTGCCGCTCCAAGCGGTGGAGCCGCCTCCGACTGCTCCTGCTCTTTCTCTGGCGCCCTCGTCCCGTCAGCTTTCGCCGTTGCCGCAGCTGCACAGAGGAGACGGATGGCTAGAGGGGCGCAAGGGCCATCCGAGTTGAGAGAGCAGCGGTCGCGGCCGCTGCTGAGGCGGAGACTCCCCGCCGCCGCCTCCACCCCCAGTTCCCTGGCCTCGCGGCGCTGAGGGCGGGCGCGCGCCGCGCTCTTCCCTCCTCCCTCTCCTCTTTCTTCCTCCTCCTCCTCCTCTTCCTCTGGGTCCCCGCCCAGCACCCCTCGCACCAGGCGGCGGCGGCGGCGCGGAGCGAGACCCGCCGCCGGGGCACAACATGGCGGAGCCCTCGGCCCCGGAGAGCAAGCACAAGTCGTCCCTCAACTCGTCCCCGTGGAGCGGCCTCATGGCCCTGGGGAACAGCCGGCACGGGCCCGGGGCCCAGTGTGCGCACAAGGCGGCGGGCGGCGCGGCGCCTAAGCCGGCCCCCGCGGGGCTGTCCGGGGGGCTGTCGCAGCCGGCCGGCTGGCAGTCTCTGCTTTCCTTCACCATCCTCTTCCTGGCCTGGCTCGCCGGCTTCAGCTCGCGCCTCTTTGCGGTCATCCGCTTCGAAAGCATCATCCACGAGTTCGACCCGAAGGGAGCGATGTGTTGGAGGAAAGGAAATAATATCCCTGAAAGTGATCTGAAAGCTAGGGACGCTAATTTATTTAACGTGAGATATTGTCAAGAGTGGCTTTTTTTTTTTTTTTTTTTCACGGCCCTTAAGTGCATTCCGCACCTCACCGGTCCACAGTTACCTTGGCTTATGACTCTGAGCCTAACTGTCACCCTCAGTATGTTATGCACGATATCCGAAAGCGTTACATTAATTCCTTTATTGGTCTCTGTAGGAAGGTTTGTGGATCAGAGAACAAACAGTAGCATAGTGGATGGAGCCCTGGATTTTAATACTGAAGTTGCACATGGCATCAGGGACTGACCTCAGGTTTTAGATTGGCTAATTTATATAATTTAATTCATTGGTCTGTGAACTATTTAGATAGGAAGAGTGCTTTAATTTTTTTTGCAACTTGCCCAGCCTGGGTTAAGTTTCTTGTGGGTTTTATTTTAGTCTTAGTCTATGCCTTTCAATCAGCTTAATTCATTTTGACCCATCACCGTTCAATTAATCTTACTTCCTTATAATCAGACCCGACTAAACTGGTATTTATCGCTGGGATTAAAGAGAGAGAAAATCTTCTTGAGAGTTACTAAATATATGACTAATAAATATTTGGGGGAGTGATGTTAAAATACCAATTGAAGTTCTGTCACAGATAGAAAAATTGGTAGTGCATCATCTGTTGAACACCGGAGGGGTCCACTCCTGGAGAATTCAATTTACATAGACAATTAACAGCTGTGACATGCTTCCATGAAACGTTTCAAAAGCATTTTAGAGGTTTTTTTCTTTTTTAAAATAGCTTTTGTGTTATTTGGAATCACAGAAGAAAATAAATTCCTGTGAAGCCTTCTGAACCAGAGTATTCTTAGTCCTAGCTTTTAAACACATAAGCAAGTGAGATAAAAATGAAATTGGAACCAGAAAATGAAAACTGCTAATATGTTGCTGAACAATGTGAAAAGAGAAAGTTCTGTTTTTTCAGATTACAAGAGCAGAAGTGCATGGTTGACCAAACGTTTCGGGTAACAAAAATTGTGAATTCTGTTTTCAGAGAGTATAATTTTTAAAAGCAGAATTTTTATTAGTAACATTGAGGCTTAAAGATTGCAGAGAAATTAACAGCTGCATAATGAGACGATTGGTATTTTTCCTTATTTTGAAAGAAGGTTAGACCTGTGCATCAAGCCAGCCAAAGAGTTTCTACTAAAATTGAATACTTTAGTCATGAAAAGTCTTAACTGGATTGCTCCACAGATACATTTTTTCTTTTAATATGGCAAAAAATTAAAAGTTGATTTCTTTAATTTTGAAAATATACTCCAAGGGTTTTTAGAGAATAAAATCCTTTTTTACTCGCACAAAAATCCCTTTTTCTGTGTATAAGACACATTTCAGAAGCATCCTTTAATAGAATATAGAACATTTGACTTTGGTTCACATACTTTAATATAGGACATTTGACTTTGGTTCACATACTCAGAAGTCTTAAAGATCTATTTGATGGTAGGTGTTCGGCTTACTGATAGTTTTAATATTTACGTTTTATTATATTCTTGGTTAAACATTTATGTTCATAATGTTTGATAATTCTGACTAGAAGTAAATAGCCTTTTATAATAAAGGAATTTTCCCTGTCTTTTATTGTGAATGGAGATTTGCCAGTATAAATCTTAAATATAATTCAGATGACTTAATAAGAGAATTTTCAGTAAAAAAAAAAAAAAATTCCTTGTTTGCTCACTTACATTTTTCCTGTCATGTCTTTCAAAGAATTCAGGAACCTTATTCTTAAAATCCATTCTTATTGAAAAATTTAGATTTTAAAAGTAGTTTCTCTTCAAAGCTACTAATATACCAGCACTTTGATTCTACAAACACTCAAGTATTATACTGACTTGGGAGTCTCTCAGATTACTGTTTTAACATGTAGTAGTGACATGAACCTTTAATATTTGAATGTTCCTCTCAGGTTCTGTACCCACAAACCAGTTTTTTTTCTGACCTTCCCTGATCCTTTTTTTTTTTTAATGTCTCTGTACACTGGCTTCACTTCTGAGGTCTTTTTAGTGAAAAGTTTACTTCCTCTGTTTGATTTTAAGTTCTTTCTATAAATTTTAACAGTGGTACTTACATTGTGTAAGACTCTAGTTAGCTGCCAAGGGTGACTCATTGTCACAAAGTTATACTTGTTTTTTAAAAAGTTTTGTCACTCAGGCTATTTTATAAATCTTACCAGTTAGACAGGGTGGTATGTGATGTTCATTAATATTTTTTGAATTTTGAAGTACACCACACTTTTTTAGAACTTCACTGCCTTTTGGGTTCTGTTCACTGCTTCACTTTAGTAATTTTCCCCCTTATCAGTTGAGTTGATCATACATGAGGACACAGTTTGAGAATTTGTTGTTTGTACTTGGCAAACATTTGGTTGACCAACTTGTTTAACAACACCTTATTTTATCTTTTTATTTGGCGCAGAATGTAGTTTCTACTTATTTTTGTTGTAGCTGTTAATACTTTTATATTAACCAAGTGCTTTTCCCATAACCATTATCTTGTTAAATTGTGGTAGCTTTTCCCACAGATGCAGTGGAAAAGCTCCCTATAAAAGAGTTGCTCTTTTCCCCTGCCTGCAAGGTTGGAGAGGGGTTCTCCTTGGAGCCCTGGAAGGAGAATTCTCTCAGCCTGAGTTTTGACTGCAGTTAACTGTAAAAGGGTGGCAGGGCAGAAAGTTGCAGTTTATGGACTGGAAACTTGGGAGGCAATTTTTCATCGAAACTTTGGTATAAATAGGTTAATTAGTACAAACGTTTTCAGAGGAGTGATAAACCTTTGGAACGTAAGCTGTTTGTAAGTTGGGGACTACTTCCTGTACTTTGAGGTCTCCATGTTTTTCTTTACTTGACAGATGACAAAAAGAGGCTATTGACCTCAGTTCTGAAGATGACAAAATGGGTAACAAAACCAATTTTAGAACAGAAATGTCACAAAATCTTAAGTCTCTTTACGGAATTGTTAGCAACAGCAATCCAGAGGCCCTTCAGAACAGGTATACTGTCACTGATTTCATTGTAATTTAAAACTTTTCAAGCCTTGAGCTCTGGAGATCTTTCCACTCCTATGAACACTTAGGGAGGAGGCGCAGGAAGTGTGTGGAGCTCCTGGGTTGGATGAGGGGATTGGACCTGCTCCCACTGGCTGAGTGTGGTGGCTCCTGTAGGTAGTAATCACAGGTTTCCTGAGGCGTCTCATAGGTGCTGGGGGAGTTAGGCTCTGTCCGCAACCACTCTGAAACTTTTTTCTGCCTTTATTCATGTACTGAGGGCCAACTTGAACAAGACTGCACACCCCTTACTGCCATAAGCAGTTTGCACAATGTTGGTCTAAGAAACTTAGGTTAAGGAATTGCATTCTAGGTTCTGACCCAGCTATTATGAATATGGGCAGACTCGCTAGCCTGTCCATGCTTTGTCTTCTCTGATTTTTATGCTTTCAATAAGTTTTGGGTGCTTTGTGCGCTATGAGAAAGTTGTCTTCATCGTAGTATCTTCTTAAGAATCAGTGCATACATGCTCTCAGAAATAATGGAATGATTAATATTCTCAAGTGACTGAAACATTTTTTTCCCTCATTTTGTTTACTTTGAAAACTAAGTGCTATTAGGGAAAGACAGTACTGCAGTTAACCTGAATTATAAAGCACTGTACAGTTCAGCAGCTCGGTATATTGCTTGATTGTTATATTATGAAAATTTTCAAGCATACAGAAAAGTTGAAAGATTTTTACAGTGAGCACTCATACTGAGCATGTAGATTCTGCACTTTGTTGTTTAGTTGCTAAGTCGTGTCTGACTCTCTTGTGACCCCGTGGACTGTAGCCCACCAGGCTCCTCTCTGTGAGATTTTCCAGGCAAGAATACTGGAGTGGGTTGCCATTTCCCTTGCCAGTTAGTATTTACTTAATTTGCTTTATCATGTCTTTCTATCTGTCCATTACTGCTTTTAAATCCTGCTTGTAGGATACTAATAGTACACTGTAATGTGAAGAATGTTATCTTTATTCCTCAACTCTGTGATAAAGAGGAGCTCTTATCTCTGGGTAGCATTTATTTTCTATAATACTTGAATATAATGAGCATAAATACCATTTATATGTCATCTTCAAATTGAACTGCAGGTTAGAATCAGATTCAGTCATTCTGGGTTTTGGTTAGTAACTCACCTGAGTACATTGTAAGTGAGTGCTTTTAGCCTAAGTCTGTTAAACAGCTTGAAAGTGAAAAGAAAGTGAAGTCTCTCAGTTGTGTCCTACTCTTTGCGACCCCATGGACTGTAGCCTACCAGGCTTCTCCGTCCATGGGATTCTCCAGGCAAGAGGACTGGAGTGAGTTGCCATTCCCTTCTCCAAAGTTGAATCCTATGTCTCAGGAGAAATTCTGAAGGTATTGATGTTCGTTTTATAAGATTTAGTTTTTGTGGAACTCCTAGACTCATTTGAATTATTAGAAACCTTTTGTTGGTGAGCCTGTGCTTATGAGGTTTTTTGTTTGTTTGTTTGTTTTAGCATTTTGGCTGTGCTCCATTGCTGTGCACAGACTTTCTCAGGTTGCTCTGCGTGGGCTTCTCACTGTGGTGACTTGTAGAGCAAGAGCACAGCCTCTAGAGTGCAAGCACTCGGTAGTTGTACATGGGCTTAGTTGCTTCTTGGCCCATGGAATCTTCCTGAACCAGAGATTGAACCCCTGTCCCCTGCATTGATTGGTGGCTTCTTAACCACTGGACCACCAAGGAGTCTTCTGATGAGTGTTATTCATGCTCTCTCTCTCTTTTTTTTTTTTTTTCGTTTATTTTTATTAGTTGGAGGCTAATTATTTTACAGTATTGTAGTGNTTGACAGGAAACCAAACTACTGTTTGGAGCCTTATTTCTTTGGAAAAGGACTTTCATAGTTTTCAATGAGCCTTATTTCTT